CCCACTTTCTGTTTTATTAAATAATAATAATAAATACATGAAAAGTTCCCACTTGTCAAATGAGCAGAAGAAAGCTCTTCCTTTATTTATATCCTGTACAAAGGAGTCTAAAGATACCACTTACTCAAACTTTGTGCTAGAGTTCTGATGTTGCAAACAATGGGAGAATTTGGCTATTCTCCACCCAGTAGGCACACTCTCTGTAGTGAATTCCTAAGTAAGGCTAAATTAGATGTGTAAGTTACTTTTAAGTAGGATTCAAGAAACCATCCATCTTAGCTGATCTTTTCGGGGCGGGGGGGGGGGGAAGTCTTGCACAGTTTTTGAAAAAGAATTGGGCATTTATATTTCTTAGAAATATTTGAAAATTTTATCCTGGTTCACACTGTGACTCAGTTCTCCATCTGTGGAGTAGGATCAATTCCTTCCTGTGGTTTCATTTATAATTTACATTCTCCTATCAGTGCTCCGTTAGTAAGGACTCGGATCATTTGCATAGCTACATTTCACAGTGGTGAGGGTGTTTGGAAGAAAATTTTTCTGAATATATTGGAGTTTTAAAAATGTGTTGGATTTTTCTCTGCAGTAGCAACCTTAATATTGAAGAAATGTTTATGGTAGTGAATGATGATAAAAACCTGATAGATGATCTGTATCCACCTACACTTTTATCAAATACTTGGTGCTTAAAGTAGTAATGGTAATTTAATAATAAAAAAGGCTGCAAGGGATATTTTTATTATATGAATAATATGTGACTCTTTGGAAGGTTATGAGATCTGATTCAATCCATTTGTAAGTCTATGGAGAGATTTTAGTGGACTTAAGTGCAACAACAACAAAGCCTGAAGACTCTATAGAGGGAGGGTTGTCATGTCTCACTGTAGCAAGTGACAAGCATTAAGACTTCCCATGGTACAGTTCTTGCTCAGTTTGCCTTCATTTCTCCCCCCCAATACACAGTTCTACCACCAATATCACCAACCAATTTGAATGTTAGAGGGAAAAAATGTGAAAATAGTGTTGCAAAGGACTTTCTCATAGAAAGTGACTGCTGAGATTATTCTAAAACTTGACTTTGTTCTAAGAGTAATACTGGCAATTATAAAAATGGGGGGTTTATGTGTAAGCTTTTCAGTGAAAAGCTATCTTTCTATTACTGTTAACATTTCACTGTTTTCTTTTTCTTTTTTTTTTTTTTTCCCAGCTAGAAAATTTTCTTTCAATTCTATATCAGAGTTTACAATGTAAGAACTTGAGGCTTCCATGGTTCCTTTGAGAGATAATGTGCATTTGTTTGATGTACTGCAGTTTTCAAAATAAAACCTCAACTGGGCTTAAAAATGGGATTTTCACCTCTGAAAAGCACATTATTACAAAGTTATCATACAATAAAAAATGAACATTACAAAAATGGGCTTCCTGTGAATAATAACTTCATATCCAGCCTCCATAATATAGATGATTTGTTTTGTAATTTCCTTCAGACAGGATAAAATTCTTACCTCTTAAAAACAAAAATAAAAAAAAAAATAGAGAAAGACCCCACAAACCCCCAAATGAGAGAAAGATGAATGGATCCTGCACAGGATCTAATCAGATAACACTAATGCACAGATATTAATGAAGCTGTCAAGCTCTATTCACTGTACTGAAGAACTGAAGTATACATTGTCCATTTAACCTTCAACACTGATGTAGTGATTCATAGTCTGTTGACTTGGTATTCCATTAGTGGAAGCTTGTGCTTTCGTTACAGCAAGAAATAATGAAGGCATGATCTGAAGGCCAGTTAAATTATGCTCTCTGTATAACAGACATCAGTGATAATTAGATAATGAGAAAGAAAAAAAAAAGAAATCTTTTCAGTTCACTTTTTCAGTCTTTCATTAGTGTCTGTAGTATGTAATGTCTTCATTTTATTATCTATGAATTGTTGAAACATTTCCACCAGGTCAAGAACTCTTGTATGTTAATCACATCTTAGAGGTTTTATTTTCTCAGATTATGTTCTGCCTCAAAACCTGGTACCTGTGTATTCACCATAGGATCTGAGGATGTGTATCTTATAGGAACAGACTGGGGGTGACTGTAGCTTTTGTAGACATTGTCACACCCCACAGCATACAGATTCTTCTACAAAGAACTAAAATAAAACAACATTACTGCTCCTGTATAGCACAATGTCATTTGATATTGCAAAATCCCCGTGCCAATCCATACTTCCCCTCTTCTACACACCAACTGTTCCCCACTGTATATGTGCATACATTACATTATTTATTTATTTATTTTTCATTAACAAAGACCTTTATAAGCAGATGTTTACTTCTTCTAGTTATTGAGACTGCCTTTCTAGTGACTGGTGAAAAACAGGCATTCATAAGTAGACCAGCTGATTCCTTCCCTAGAATCATTTTGCTACTCTCACAGTAAGCACCATATGGTGATTTTCTCAGATGTACATGACTAAAAGTCAGAGAAAGCAAAACCTGCTGTTAGTAAGCAAGCCTAGACTATGCATCTACACCATCGTTAGTTTTGCATCCTTCTCTATGAGGAAATACCTCTCTAATGAAAGTGGGGTTTGTGTATTCCCTAGTAGCCTAACACTCCTGTAATAAAGTCAAATAAAGAATTATCTCTTTCTACATTACAAGAATGAAATATGATGATTTAAAAGTGCGTGTTAGCCCTGGTGATAAACATTCACGTGGAAAACACATGTTTTTATGATTTCAATTATTAAAGTTCTAATTTAGTCTTCTTTATTCAATATAGAAACATGGGAATGCCTTAAAATTAATTTAAATACCATTCTTCATTATTGTGCTTAGTCTATTGAAATTAAATTTGATATAATTTGTCCAGTTACATGTATTGTACTCTAAACACTTTCTATATTGAATCAGAATTTTCATAATCTTTTTTTCCTAGTTTCTTAGTTTTTCCTAATGTTGACATTAGTATGACATAAGAAGCTATCTTGTCTGTAGTCTCATGATATATTTCCATGTGTTTGATTAAGTATCACTGTAAACTCAATCATCCAATTTCAACAGATATTATTGATTAATGAGAATGAATTAGCCTTCCCTTCTCCACTACATATTTTTGTACATTGTGACTGAAAATACGGTGTTTGCTAAAGGTTTGCTTTTTTTTTGGTGTTTAGTTCAACAAATCTCAGCCTTTTGTCTTTGACATTCTTCAGGTTATAATTTCTTTAGTTAATACAATACTTTTACTGGAAAATGACGCACATATCCGTGTGCTTGATTGTCATCTTAACCTTGGTACTCATCTGGACATATCAGTGGCTTAATGGTTATCACCATACAATATAGTTTCTGAGACATTTTTTATCATCCTAACGCCACATTGCATTTGCATTTTGGCTGTGAGGTTTGTTTCATAGCACACATATTGTACTTTAAATATAAAACTAAAATTAAAATTAAAAACAATTAAACATGCTTTAATAATAAATATTGACCAGTTGTATCCAGTATAGTGACCGGTATCCAGACAACCTTTCTTTTATGGCATATCTGTGTTTGGAGAGCTCTGGACGCTACAGCTCTGATTCAGTGCAAGAAGTAAGCACTTGCATAACATGAAGATCACATGTATTCCTGTTTGATGAAGCCTTTTGCTGCCACACAGAGTTTATAAAAGTTCAGTGCCTTTCTGAGTATGATGTGTTGCAATTCATTTTTCATTTTTAAATCTAGACTGTTTATAGCTCTATTGTAATGTCAGCATAATCGCTGACTTTAAGATGCTCATTTGGGATTTATCCTACTGTAACTTGATGGAGAACTTAGATCCTTGCTTTTGTAGGTCAACAGATGTGTGTTTCACCTCTGCTGCTTCTCTGAGTGAGTACAGGAATGTTTTGCAGATGCTGTCAGATTATTTTGCAAGCACATTTCAGATCCCTATGATGTGTTCAGAGTTGCAGAAAAACTTTTAAAATCTTTTTTATACACTTGGAATTATAGTCTGAAAAGATAGTTGAGTAACCAGACTGCAGTTTTAGAAATGCTTGGATCTTTTGTTGTTGTTCTTAATAATTAAACTTGGAATTGCAAAGAAATAGTTAGCTGGACATTTGGTGCAAGCTGACAAACTAAGGCTACAGATATAGGGTAAATGATATTATTATTAACACGATGCTTTCTTTCAATAATTGCCTGTGAGGTATGATGCTTTTTTGACTCCAAAATAATTTTCTTTACGGGAGTGTCCTCCAGATCACAGATATCCCATTAGTTGGGGGGTGGTGGTGGTGTAATTTTTAATTCTAATGCAGTATTTATTCCAAAAGAAACTATACTCTCATCAAAGAAAATTAAAGCGGAATGAAGGTGGAAAAAAAATGAATGTGTATTATTTGGTTTAATAAGCAAAACAAAACAATCTCTAGGCTGTATCTCAGTACAAATATTGTCATATAAACAGTGTAGTTTAACCGATTGCCACATTTTCTACACAAATTGGAGTAATAATTTATTAGTCAATCCCAATTCTATGCAAAGAAAAACACCACAATTTTCTGAATGAGGCGTTTTCATCAGTGAATATTACATTGAGTTCTTATGTCTGGGTAGTATGGCACATTGTAATTGATATTACCTTAATTAAAATACAAATAAGACAAAAAAAGTATTCATTCACAATGAGGAAATAATGGGGGAGAATTTTGTCGTCATCGAAGTCACAGGAAGCTTTGCCATTAACTCAGAGAATTCTTGTTTCATTCACAGGGTAGAACTACTTTGCCGTTAAAGTCATTGGGGAATATTCACTAGTGAGACACTGCAAGTAGTGTTTTGAGAAAACTAAAAAAAGAGGCATCAACCACATTTTGCCAATCAAAAGTGCTGATTGGATGCAAATGGCAAAGTGCATTTTGTATTTGCTGACAGTCGTAAGTGAAACAGTTTTGAGGCAACATCACTGGATAATAAAATTTCCAAATAACTTTACCTGTATAGGAGCTGGATTTTGAAGCTAAGACGAGCTATACCCTGAGGATAGAAGCAGCCAATATGCATGTTGACCCTCGCTTCCTGAGCCTGGGACCCTTCAGTGACATGACAACAGTGAAGATAATTGTAGAAGATGTTGATGAGCCACCTGTGTTTACTTCACGTTTGTACTCCATGGTGGTGTCTGAAGCAGCAAAGGTCGGCACTATCATTGGAACTGTGGCAGCCCATGACCCGGATGCCTCAAATAGTCCTGTCAGGTAATTATAAGATGTCTTAATTTTTTAGTTATTTGGCCTTTTTATTGAAGTTGTTCATTTTGTTGTGGGAGGTTCTTTGGTTATATGGAAAGCGATTAGTTGGCTTTTTTTCCTTGCAAAGGGAGATTGAGGTGTTCTAAGAGTTTGCATATTTTGACTTCTATATGCCTGAATTAAAGAACCTTTGAAAAAACAGTATATTTAAATCTCTGTAAAACAAAGAAGAGAAGACATAATTTCAGGATTCCAAAGAAAAAAACCTCAACATATTACTCATATTTATTTCTCTCTAAGTTTAGGAAGACTCTATTATTATCTATAACAAGTTATATCCTCTTAAATCAACCAGGACAAAAAAAATATATATACGTAATATACATCTATGTGTGTGTCTGTGTGCATAATGATTCATATTCTGCATGCACTGTGCACAACAATATAATAGCACAGAGACTCTTGCATGGTAAACCAGAGCTGAGGTCCCACAGAAAAAAAAAACATTAAAAAAACCTCTTCATGTGAGAGAAATGGATCGGACAAGACACATCCTGTCATAGTCAGGATGGTTAAAGGCAATAATCTTCTGGCTTTTGTAAATTCTGCTGCAGCCAAATATCTTCCATTTGAGTGGGAAGAGATATGAACACCAGAAACACATGAAAACTGTTCAGGGCCTCTTCCTTTGTCTTCAGTCTGTGGACAACCTGAAAGTCTTCCACAGTCTAACGTCCAGGATCATAAAGAAACCATAAGAAAACACAAAGTATTGATCGAATGTTTGCCTGTATCTAAGGTCAAAGCTCAAGGACAAAGGCTCACCACCTAAGTTAAACCAGTAATGAGTTACCTGTTACCTTTCGTATGCAGAGTAGTAATATTAATTGTCAAAGAATCTAGAGGGTAATACTTCTGACTGAGGAATTTTGTGAACTTAAACATCCCCAGGAGGAGGAATGTATACACAATTGAAAGTTAGTACTAAGTTTCATTTAGGGCATACATAGAAAAGAACTTCACAGGTACAGAACTCATTTGTATGTCACCTTTTCTGGTGATGTTACATTTTTACTTTCATGCACTGAAGATTAACTTGTGACTCTAGTGTAGCTCTGTAATTTCTAAAGCAGCAATCTAAAGTTGTAAAAATAAAGCATATGTTTCACTCCTTGAGGTGACATAAGTGTTTTCTCTTTCTCTCTTTGGTTATATATTTGCAACATATTCAAAATAGCTGATTCCTATCATATATAAACAAGTCCTAGATGGATGGTTGGCAGGGATTCACTTGTGAAATTTATCTTTGCTGAGATCTTTCTTTGCTGTGGCAGTGTTTTCTGGCACTGATGTTAGCATCTGGTGTATAATATCTGGTTTAGCAGAACCATGCAGAGTAGGAATAAATCCAGTTCCATAAATGCAGCCCATGCTCAGAATCGTTTTGACTCCTGTGTAAACATAAGGATGAGTTTATTGGCCTTGATCTGGTTAATTTTTACAATTCCAGCATTACCAAAAAAAAAAAAAAAATATATATCACCAGCTTAATTAACATCTTGAAGATTCCTTCTGCTTCAAAGCTGTTTGGAATTTGGCAGGGAGGAAAAAGAGAAATAGTGAGTAAATAGGATTTATCTATATGCTTGTGAACCTACTATACATTGTCCGGGGTGCTGACATCATATTATTTAAAGCTGTCCTGCATCTGCTATGTTGTACATCAGAGCCAGATTCACCTAAACTTGGAATGTGTTAAGGAAGATTAACGCATAATACTTTTCATGATCTATTTGAGAAGTTTAAATTATTAATCTATAAATAAGTATTCCAAATTCCAGACATTTGATTATAGTGATATTGGTTAAAAATTAGACTTGTTAGAATTCAGAAAATGTTGAAATTACAAGATCAGACACAATTAAAACCTTGACAATACTGGGGAGCGGAAGTAATAAATTGTTTGAAAATAAGAGGTTATCTTGTGTGGACCTGAGAACTATTGATGTTTGAACTAGCTTAAATAAAAGATTTAAAACTCCTGCAGCTCAGAGATTTTCAAATATTAATGGCTGCAAGGAATTAAAGGATTAAAAGTATTTAAAATTTTTTTATTTTTTTTATTTTTTTTTTTTAGAATTTGAATATGGATAAAACATTTATAAATAAGTTAAGGGAAATAAGTTGTTTCCTATACGTAAAAATTATTTTTCTTCTTATTTCATAAGAATCTGTTGTCCAATTTATATAACTTTTTTGCTTTCCCTCCCTTCCTCCTTCCCTCCTTCCTTTTTATTGCTTTCTTGCTTTCTTTTGCTTTTTATTTCTCATTTTTCTCCTTCTCTCTCTCTCTCTTTCTTCATATTTTTTAAGAAAGGTCTTTGACTCTTCAAACTGCATAGTGATAGTGTTAATAATTGGGAAATCTAAGGGCTGGCAGGAGACTGAATCCCAGCTACGGGGCCTGCCAAGATTGACGACGTAGCAGAGGTGACAGGCATAGTCTCAGGGGGAAGCTTGCCAGCCACAAAACAGCTGAAGAGCACTGCTGACCAAAATAAACAACAGTGCTGGCATGAAATAAAGTAAAAAATGAACTATTGTTAACACAAAATAGGGGGGGAAAAAAAGTGAAAGAGGGAGAGCCTTAATCCATGAAAACTGCTGTTACTGTTACAACTCTTTACTTCATTCTCTCTCTCACTGTGACATAATAGGGTAAAAAAATTCTAATTATGTAACAAGTCTTTGCACTAAGATTTTGCAGCCAAGAGGGACAGATAAAACCTTTGTGATACAGCAAAGTAGAAGCTGGTATAGTACAACACAGAACAAATAGTGCCATAAGATCATTATATCCTGGAAGTTCCTTTTTTTTCTTTTTTTTTTTTTTAAACTATCTTCCATAATACTTTTGATGTTGTTCAAAGGGTTTGGTTAATGTTATACCAATAATCTAGTATATCATCAGTGAGACAGTAATTGTAATGATCACACTTGGTCTGATTTGGACATTTTAATTTATCCTG